AAATATAATAAAGAGAACAAATAATATAACTATGATAAATATAATATATATAATAAATAAGATATAATTAATAAATAAAATATAATTCATATATCTAATATATCTACTTGATCAACGTTAATAACTTTAGCAACTTTGTCAACTTTGTCAACTTCATTAACTATGTCGATTATTTAGATCATATGACTTTATTTTAGCATAGTTACAGATCACAACTTCAATCCTCCCCTTCTAAATTTTGAGCTCCTGCCCAAATATTCATAGCTTCATTTACTAGAGACTAGTATATATGGCTTGAAAGTTGATAAAGGTTCTTTAATAATATATGTTTCGCTCGTTGAATTTGATCTATACCTAACATTTTATAGAGGTAATAAACACGTATTGAGACAGAACTATAATATTTAGTGACAAGTCCTCTCAATTGACTTCATTGTACTAATGAAAAAGTTTCTGTTTCTAGAAGTTTTCCTAAATAGTAAGTATTTATCAAAGTAAAAGTTCAGTCTTTTATTTGTGAAGCTCTTAATAACATTCGATATGTTAGTTAAAATTTCTTTTATAATTCCATTCCATTTGAATATGAAGGAATAGCAGAGATTATTTCTTTAGGTAAAGTTTCATTCAAATCTTCAATATAAAGTTGTTTCATAATAATAATAATGAATAAAAATAAAATAAAAAGAAAAATCTAAATTTTAAAAGGAGGGTCTTTATAAATTTTTAAAAGATCTCAATTAACTGGATTGCGAAGTACATGATCATCTAATTCTTTTATCTTGTAAGAGCCATTTAATAAGATTTGATGGATATAATAGGGGCCTTTCCATTTTTAAATCAATTTTCCAAAATGGGTTTTAACTTTTGCAGCTTCAAAGTACAAAACTTTATCTCTAATTTCATGTAAAACAGAGATCCTTGTATTTTTGTCATGATACTTCTTTTGTTACTATTATGCAAATTGTATTTGTACTTTTACATCTAGTCACACCAGAGTAATTTATTAATCAAATAATCAATTCTTTCTTGGATAGTAAAATTCTGGTTGGTACAAAGGTTATTAGGATCATCAGGATTATCAATAGGTAACGTTGTATTTTGTCCATAAAAGGGTTCAATTTTTGTGGCTGATTGTTTGCTTGTGTGATAAACAAATAGAACAGGAGAAATATATTGGTCCTATTGAGTAGATCTTTCAGCTAATTCTGCTAATGATTTACATAGAGTTCTATTGAATTTTTCTACTAATCTATTCATCCTAGAATGATAAGGAGTTGATAGATTATGACGAATGTGAAATTGTTCTATCAATTCTGTAACTAATTAATTATTAAAATGAAATTCCCTATCTGATAAGATCTTAGTTGAACATCCATATCAGTAAATAATATTCTCGTATAAGAACTTGATGACACTTTTAGCAGTATTATCCTTAACTGCTTTAACTTCTGGCCATTTTATTAAATAATTTATAGTAATAATAATATATTTATTTCCTCTACTAGTTTGTAGTAAAAGTCCAATAAAATCTATTCCAATTCTATAAAATGGTGAATCAACTGGAATAGGATGTAATTCATTCTTTATTTTAAGCCTTCCTCATCGTTGGCAAGCATCACATGATTGAACATATTTTCTGATACTTTCATATATTGAGGCCAATATATTTAGTACAAACTTTGTTAAACATGATGTCAATAGAAAAATGTCCAGCTGTTAGATTATTATGCATCATATAAAGAATTGCATCTAGTTCAGTTTCTTTGATAACCCTTAGAAACTGTTTAGAAGCATTTCTTTGTCTTGTTTTTTATATAAAAAATTGAGTAGAACTGTATAAAATTTTGATTGTCTTTTTAATTTGCAATTTCATTTGAATTAAAAGATGTGGGTAATGATTTAAGGTTAAATAAACAAATAAATTATTATATTGATTGAGTTCCATGATATTTGAGCTGCCTATTATAATGTAGACACTTTCGCTTTCATTCTAGATAATTATTACTAATATTTTTGAATAAATGAGCTTGCATTAGTTAAAAAGGAGGAAATCAACCTTCTAATCAATTTTGAGATTTTTAACTCATATGATATAAATTAATAATATGCATCATTTTCACTTAATAAAGTAAGCTAATAAGCATAATAAAAGTTTGAGATAATATTAAAAAAACTAAAATATGCATAATATCGATCATTTGTAATTACCTAAAATTATTTGATAAGGAGATAAACATGAGATTAAGCCATATCAGATAAATAATTTAACCACCAAATTTTTCTTTTTTAACTTGACACAATTTAAAATGTTAGATTAGTGTTTGGATAGATATTTTTCTTTAAATTCTTATCTATATTTTTAATAAAAATAGTTTCTTTTTAAATTATTATTTAAACTTCTATCTATAGTTTTATCATTTACAAATTTAATGAAATTGGCATTTTTTTTAAACAAAAATAATTCCTTTTTTAAATATTTTATTTATTTCATATTTTATATTAAAAGCTATATACTTGAATTAAGATCAGTACTAATGTTTTTTTTCAAAAAAAAATGTCATAAAATCTTTTTATTAATACTTATTCAGAACTCTATGAATTAAATATTGCTTTAGAACAATTACAGAATGAATACAAATTTGATATTAATTATGATAATACTGTTGATGAAGATTATGAAAAAAATGTGCCTATAGATGATGATATGTTTTATTCAACTTTCACTAATACTCAAATTGAGGAATTTCATAAAATTTGGTATAAAGATTTATTGCATCATGAAGAAAGTGAAATATCTGAAGAATTTAATGAAAATTTGATAGAACAGGATGTTGAAGCATTTTAAAAAAAACTTGAAAATATTTCTTGTTATTCAAAAAAATGTTTAATTAATAATAATATTATTGATCGTGAAATTGCAATAAAAAAATTCAAATTATTTCAAAAATTAAGCAAAAATCAACAAAATATATTTCTATTAGGAATACTTAACGCAAATGTCCATACTAATAAACAGAAAGAAAAAGGAGAAAGTATGTTTAACATATAACTATTATTTTAAAGAAATCAAAATATGTATGGTAGCTTTTCTAATAATTTATGCTATTGGCAAAAGAAAATGGAAAGCAATTCGTAAACATTATACTGATCATGATATTTCTCCAATTGTACATGGTTTAACTGGTTGAAAAGTAATAATGCTGTATCTTTTGAAACTGTTTTACATATTTTGACATTTATTGCTAATTATGCAAATATTCATGGACTTCCATTACCAGGTATTTTTTTTTATTAAAATTCTAATAACTTTATTAAAAATTATTTTTTTATTAATTAATCAATATTTTTTTATTGAATAAGATGTCATTTTTGAGAGGAAACAATTTCAGTTACTTATTTACCAGCAAATAAAAGTTATGCGTCACTCTGGAGATTGTATAATGATACAATTGAAAGTAATATTAATTATAATGAATTTTTGGTTAGTATTCGAACATTTTGTCAAATCTGGCAAAAATATGTATCAGGTATAAAGTTTTTATCACCATGTAGTGACTTATGTAATAAGTGCAAATCTATGAGATTCAATTCACAAATGTGGCTAGCATCAGAAATGGAGTAGAAAATTGAGGAATGAAACAGACATATCCTATGGGCTCAATTAGAAAGAGAAAACTTTAGGTAAATCTTTTTAAATTTTTATTTTTTTATTTATTTATTTTATTTATTTAATTTGCTAAATTTTTTATCTTTATATAGAAATTGCATAGCAAATTTCAAATTAGCATTAAAAGAATTTAAAAATATTTTATGACCAGGCATACCAAGCTCTCAAGATTTTGAAAATCACATCTCTTGGAATTTTACGAAAGCAGTTCAAATTCCATATTCATCTCAACAGGAGGTAAAATTAAATTAAATACATAATCATATATTTTATAAAATTTAATTTAGTTTATTATTTAAATAGGATGCAACATATTTTAAAAGCCTTTATAAAGTACAAATTTTTGGTGTTTGTGAAGATGGTATCCCAAGACAAGTGAGTAATTTATTATTTTTGATATAATTTTTTTTAATTTATGTTTAAATCTTGTTTTTGTATTAGGTAAATTATTTGATTCTAGAAAAAGAAAATGTCGAAAAAGATGCTGATACAATGATTTTGTTAGTCTACCATTACTTTGAAAACTACGGATTGGGTGAGAAAAAAATAATTATTTATGCTGATAATTGTTCAGGACAAAATAAAAATAATGTGATGGTAATGTATTTGGCATAGTACATCGTTAATAATTTGCATAATATAATTACATATTCATTTATAGTGTCAAAACACACCAAGTTTACACCAGACAGATTTTTTGGTTTATTTAAATTAAAGTTACAACGTTCAGAAGTGGATGATATAGGTAATTTAATTAAAGTAGTTAAAGAATCGACTTCTGGTAGATATAATATAATGCAAACTATTTTTAATAGTGATAGGCAATGTGAAGTTTTTTTTATAACTGGACTGAATATTTAGTTAATTATTTTAATCCTGTTTCACAAATTAAAAAACAACATTATTTTGTATTAAATTGAGATAAAATAGGTATTGTGAAAATTAAAACAGCAGTAAATAAAGGATCTCAATTGATAAAT